GAATATGAACCTGCTTACGTTTTGTACAGAAATGAAAATTGCGAGATTTTAGATTACATAATTCGTGACTAGAATTAGCATTAAGCGTTACACAATCATGAGAAAACACAAACAAAATGGCATTCGAAAACGAAACCCGGCGGGATGAAAATGCAGACTGAAACGAAAAATAGGAAGGGCCGTTTCGCACCGCACCATCGGCTTCCATAATCGTTTTTCTCGCAGTATTCAAAGGCCATGCTGCTAAGTATACGGCGCGCGACTTCGGTCCTGTACGGAATCATCCTAACAAGATTACGACGGCTCAAAACGGCCCACATCTTTAGGAAACATCACAAAAATACTTCGAATAACTTTTCGATTTGCGCAACGTTAGCATTGACCTTCGTAATCTTTGGACATGTCTTGGACTAGTGGACGATAGATATCAGCTGTGCTCAGATTCCTCAATTTCGACGGGGTTCCAACGCCGCTAGTTTTCTTTAGGGGACAGCTTTGTCTCCTACCCGCCGTGAAAACTCGTCCTACCGAATTCGTCACAAGGGTGCCGGACAGCGATTCTGTAATTCTATTTTGCTCTTCAGCATGACAATGCATAAAAGCGACGGAAGTGTCCAGCAAATCTGGGACCTGGTTTGATGGATATGAACTGGTGAGCGAGGACCCACGGATTCAATACTGGTTAGTTCAACACTAAATCCTACTCACACCTTGAAGTCTGTTCAAGGACCAATCAGCGTAATCACAGGAAGTACGACATAGGATGGAGTTTATGGTTTTCTCTGAACGAACAAAATTACATCAGCTTTTGCTTCGGCGATAGAGAGCGCTCTATCAGTTTACAAAAGAAAACAACGTACTCAGATTTTGCCGGACACTTCCGGAAAAATTTCTTTTTTAAAAGTGATAGAATGAAGCTCCTAAGAGGCTATGGTTATGCAAAGTGAAATTAGAAGGAGTCTATACTATATTAGAACTGCAGTGCAATTACTATATTTCAAGCGTTATACCTTCCCGAAAAGTAGATGTGGAGTCATTGCACAGATACTGTACAATGCTATGAAGATATGGTAGTCTTGCTGGTAGACCTGTTACTCGACCTAGATTGTATTACTTACCTTATCTCCAAGAATGTAAACTAGGTCTACTGAAGCACGACTAGCCAACATAAGATTAGAACTGACCGATTTTTTTGTGCATTTTCTTTTGTGCGAGCCGAATCAGCCTCAATCGGAAGTGGCGGGAACCGAGGCAGAACAAAATGAAGTTCGACGCTTTTCCAAAAATCACAAGAGTACTGCAATAAGTTTTGTTAGAGAAAGAGTTACCGAGGAGGAAAGTGCAGTCAACCTGCAAATCATAGTGAGATCATATAAATCTTGTTGTGGGAGGTTATAAGCAGTTCGGACTAATTGCATCAGCGCTGACGGACCATTCGTCAAAGTGAACATTGTAACTATGAAAGAGACTGTCAACGTGACTCGATGTTCAGTCTTCTGCATCTGAATTTCGTTGGTACGCCTAAATAATGGAAAATTTGAGTACAATATGAAGAATGACATCGGGCATTACCTTGCCGCAACATCATTGGAGATTGCCAGATGCTTCTGTCGTCTGCGTAGTGCACAAAGTAGCATAAGATTAAGCACAGTTAGAAGAATAATGGGCAAGATGATCATTGTCAGCACATAAATCAACACACAAAGAGAAACTGTATTTTGATATGCCGGAGAGAAAGGATTTGTTCGATTTCCAAACCATGTGCTGCAAAATTACTATTTTGCAGAGAATTGAGATTAGGCTATAGCAGACAAAACATTGTACTAGTTTTTCAATCTCCGCTCTAACTTCTTGCCAAATTTAGAACAGAGAAGAAGGAAATTCACGAAGGGAGTAGAAGAAAGCTAAGAAGTTGCGAAGATGGAATATTTTTTTACATATGAACAAACCAATTCAATATGGGGATTTTTTGAGGCTATTATAGAGACCTGTGACTTAACAGATAAGACTAGTATTTTTGCAAAAAAATAAGGAGAAGAAAGGGAAAATTATGTTTCAAAGACTAAATTACGTCATTGGTAAACTTAGAAGGTAGAAAGCTCTTGCTAAGTGGTGTAATGCTTTTATGCACCATAAATATGGAAAAGATAATAATTATTCAAAGGAATAGAACTTACTCGCTATATACCGGCTGACACCTGGAATAAAGCTGCGTTTCATTACAATACGAGCGTACAAGGCAGTAATATTCGAAATGCTGATAAAAAGTCAGCAAACCAGTAACGGCAACAATGAACATGATAACAGCTGGTAGCTTCCTGAAATAAGTGTAATGGCATAAAATTTGCAAAACGATACTAATAAGAGCCTAAAGAGGATGGCATCACAGTGTGCTAGATCAAATCGAGACAAGACACCATAAAAGAGCGCAGGCAATTACGACTCCTCAGTAACATTGTCGCGACGACTAAGCGCTTTTGCTGCTTGGGTTTCTTTTGCATTGTCATCACGTCTGAAGTCAAGCTGTATAAATTT